TTTAGCTCAATGGCCAGGTACTTCTAAGCGTCCTACAGCTAATGTGCCCTTAACTTCATTCCTAGCTCAATACTTAGTTGCCCTGTTACCTTCTCCTTGCTCAGCACCCTAAATCTGCCCTCCGCTTAGTTGTGTTTCTAATCTCTTGCCTGCTACCCCAGGCCCAGTCGAGGAAATGGCCAGTGGCTACTCCACCGGAGATCTCACATGACTCGTGGCTCTGTCTCCCTCTGAACCATGATGAATCTTTTTCCTCCTCCTATCCTGCCTGTGGGAACCTGGAATCCCATCTCTTCTGCCCAGCCACTGGGAACAGAACCTTCAGTGTTCACAAGCAGATTCCCAATCAAAGCCTCAGAAACACCCCATACATCTCACCTTTTCTATCCAATTTAAAAAACAAAAAACAAAGAACAAACTCTTCTCTCAAACATAAATTGAACAAAACCATAACAATCATGTAAATTACATAGTATGATATACAATTAACATCCAGTCCATATGTGTCAATTAGATAAAGTACTCTACCATCATTCCTAACTTAAAGAATTATAATTCTATCCCTGAATTATGTTTAGATTTTAGCCTGTAACACCATCTGAAAACCGGGTCTTCCACCCTATAACTTCTCTCTCAATGTAAAACAACTTGAGTTTGATTATGAGACTATGAAGAAGCTATGTTTGCTTCTTCCTTACTCTGAGGTCACAATCTGTCAGCTGATTACTTAGTCCCTCCTTCAGAATCTCTCCAGAGTCTGAGTGCTCAACACTTCCACTGTGCGTACCCAGTCTCCCCCCTCCCCATTTTACTTGACCTCCCCACAGTCTTCTTTTAGGCAAGAACATACATTCATTTCACTTGAAATAGTATTGCAAGATGGCAAAGAAAAAAGTACGAGAGTGACATCCTTAGAACTCATTGTACAAAGATGCTTAGCAAGTCTTATAACAAAGCAGCTGTGTGCTGGATAGCATCATAGGGATGTATCCCCATATCTCATCTTTCATCACGCCTCATGGGAGAACAAAGTATCCCGAGACCCCAGGGGAGAGAGCGGTTGTGGATTTAGAACAATTTGTATTCATGTGAGCATTCCATTTCTTATCTTAGTTTGTATTTCAGTTGTGGTAACTGTGTGCCCACAGTTCTGGGGTTGAGGAAGCCTTATGCTTATGACTCTGTCATCTGTGGAGTATCTGGTGAGGGCCTTCCTCTGGTTCATGGCATAGTAGTATCACATAGCTCTTTGCCAGCTGGTGTGTCTCCTCTTACATAGTCTGTTGTAGAAAATATTAAATCTCAATCCAGGACTTCTATCCCACCTTTGATCATTCAGTTCCCAGATAAAAGACATATAACCTTTACATTTACAATAAGTCTTAATCAGCACTAGAGCTGTTCAGATATCTACCTCTGTGCTATTAGAATCTATTTCTCCATCAGTAACCCCATTTTATAATTTTCCATGTTCCAATTGGGCAGCTCTTAACTCCAATTGGCTAACCCTCATGGCTATGTGTTCATGATTCACTTACCCCATGGTGGCTTCCTCCTCTTTCCACCTTCTTCACCTCTTTGTGCTCCTCTTTAAACCCCAAGCCTAGGAACCCCAAACCCCACTTACGTCTCTTCTGCCCAGCGATTGTCTGTTGACGTCTTTACTTAACTAATGGTTGTAAACTAAGGAGCAAGGTCACATTGTACTTGTGGATTCTTTCTTCCCTGCGAGCATCCAGGCTGGGGTGGGGCAGTAGTTCGCGTTACAATATGGCAACAGTAGTTACTAATGCTGTGAAGCCCCTCCTCCCTGAAAAGATCTCATCTCATTCTAATTATGTCTTAAAGGCTCCGCTTTCATATTCTGTTGACATATGGAATCTTTGAGGATTACATTTCTAGTCAGGAGGTGGGGAGGCTTCCAACCCTGCACCTTGCTTCACGCAGACAGTAAGACATGTAGATGGGAGGTCTCACCTCATCTCTGAGTGAGTACCTTGCTTCTTAGTCGCCACCTCTGTGGAGTAGAAACAGGGGGTAGCCTAAGTCTCATATCCTCAGAACTTAACCACAGCCATGTGTCAGAATCGCGTCTTCATAGAGTGAATTAGGTAAGACAGTGTTTCAGTCTCTGCTACATTGTTAGTATAGCTGTATGTGTAGTAACTGTGAAGAGACCAGAGTGTGGTTAGAATTTCCCATCTTACAATCAGGTCATTGTACCTGATGTTCTGTGAATACTAGTCAGCAGTCTCCAATTATTAGATGTCTTTATCAAATGATTTATTATCTCTGCCTCACCCCTTGTGGAACACAGGCAAAAGACAGGGTGCTTTCTAGAAAAAAAAAACAGAGTAGATAAAAAAATGTATGTAAACTGGCTGTTTTTAAAACTGGATTGCCTTGCTGGCATTTTTCACGTGAGAAACATTTACTGAGGAGTTCACCTTCTAGCAGGAACTAGATAAAGTAGAAGTGGTTTGAGGAGATGGACTCTTGAGAAAGTTCAAAATTGTGTTGTTCTTCAAGGGACTATAGACAGAGTAGTTCACCCGGTTTTTGTTGGGTAGATAGTAATCGTGTCCTGCTTTCTAAGAACTTTGATTTGTATGCTCACCTGACGTATGTTGACTTTTGTTTACAATCATAGTCAAATCAAGTTTTCTAATTTAATTATAAACATATGTTGCGGTCCACTAGTTCTGTGAAGAAAAGTCTGGTCCCTTTAATAATAGAATAGTTACAATAGCTTGAATGTTTAGAAGGTGGAGTTATATGAAGGTGCTGTTTTTGTTACAGCATAGAGTCTTAGCTAGCAAATAAAAATTCAGGAAGACAGTTTAGAAGGTGACCTTTTTATAAAACCACCCCCCCCCATCTCCTCATTGGTAGCTTTACACTGAGCTTCAGGGCTAGGGTCCTTGTAGGTAACTTGGAACTCCTGGGATTGTAGGACACTGGAGTCCCTCTGCCCCACTGAGCAGTGTTCCTTTGACCATTTAGCTCGCAGGTGCTTCCTTAAGGGAGAAAGCTTCCTGGTGCAGCTCCTGCTCTTAGACATCCTGCTCTTAGGGCTTCTTTCTTGTATACATCCCTTACTCAAGGGGAGAGCACCTTTTTGCAGTTTTGTCGTAAGGCTTTTTGAGTGAGGGAAACTCCTAAGAGCACTCTTAGATCAACTGAAAGTTTAACAAGTTCAGACACAGGAGGGTAGCACATTTCCTCCTCAGCTTCACAGCCCACTCAGGCTGTACTAACAGGGAGGTCAGATGGAGGTGTGGTAGAAAGAAGTGGTGCTGATTTTAGGTGAAGAAAGGCTCATTTGTGGTATGAACAAGTTCTCTAGAGAAGATTGGATGTTTGAGGATGTTGATCAATTTTGGCACTTGACTAAACTCTACATAAATTTAGCATTCAAATGTAAATGTTTGTTAAACAGAAGGAATTATTCCTCTGTTGTTACATTTAAAGGTACATAGCATTCTCTTCTTTGGAGACACTATTCTGATTATGAGAATATTCTAATCATAACATAAACATAACAAGTGTTTTTGAGTTTTGTGTTGCTTAGGATTACTTATTTATATTGCTATTTTATTTAATTATCACAGATCTAATAATTATAATCTCACTGTTCTAATGATAAACACTCAAGTGCCTGAGGACTGGAGCTGTTCCAAAAGTGGAAAAGCTTTAGCCCTGTTTGTCTGGTCAAGTGAACCTTGAAGCTAAACTTCTCACAATTCTTACTAGAGCCTGATGTGCAGCTATGAGGACCTCAGGGCACAAAGGATCCTAGCGTCAGACAGGGGAATACCTCCTCCTCCTCCTCCTCCTCCTCCTCCTCCTCCTCCTCCTCCTCCTCCTCCTCCTCCTCCTCCTCCAGGGTTTAGAGAGGAGCACTAGAGAACTGTCAGAAGCGATGGGGTCAGGATGAGGAGAGGAATGGAAGCGAGGAGCATTGTGTAAGAGTCCCCAACTGACAGATGTGGACGTTTGAGGTTTGACCTGAGAGCACTTGTAGGCAGCTCCTGGGTTGGAGCCTACTTCTGTGGTCTACTTCAAGGGAGGAGAAAATGAAAGCAGGCTCTTGTGATATCCAGCACGAGCAACAGTATTCTGCTCTATAAAACACAAGTTTTTATAGTTTTAGAGTCTAGACTCCCTCCAAATTCTCCATTCTCGGGATTGCAGGCATGCACCACCACAACTAGCTTTAAAATGAACATTTTATGTTTAAGATTGCATCTGACAAATAGATTCTACTGCTAAACTGAAAATACAAGTTTAAAGGCCATCGTGCTAAACACTGCTTAGATTATAATGGAAACCAGTAAGAGGTGGAAACTACTGAAGGCATGTCTGAGGACACATGGCAGCCACTGGAAGCAGCCTCTCTGGCTCTCGAGTGAGGTACTGAGTAAGACAGAAGGCCAGCAGTGATTTTTGGAGTTCTTGATGCAATATTAGATAAAACTTGGGACTAAATTCAGTGCATCGTGTCTTGTGAGGTTTAGAGGGCTTTAGTGCTGTGCAGGGTCATCCACTCTTGAATTGTATGCAGAGGACAGTACTATTTCAAAGGCCAAAAGATCTGACCAGGCTCCACCTTTCCCATAACCTTTGTGTGTGTGTGTGAGAGAGAGAGTGTGTGTGTGTGTGTGTGTGTGTGTATTTCATGATTAATGTTGAAGAAATATTTTTTAATGTTATTTCCAAAATGACTAATGTCTTTTTCTTTTACTAGGATTCTAATAATTTGAGCCGATTTTGTTTAGTAGTTAGCAATCTATTTTCATTAGCTACACTGTGTGAGAAAAGGTCCTTTGGGAAGAACAAAATTAGCTTAGTAATTTGCTCCTTTATCTGTGCGTGTGTAACTCAACTGCTTTCATTTCTGATGTTGCAGTGGAGGTAGATCAAAAGCAAGTAATTTTCACATCCTGAGAAAGCCTGTATTTTCTGCCACTCTGAACTCTTGTGTATCTGCATTCTTCTAGGTGAGGAATTTTAAATTGGAACAGGAGCAAGAAAAAAACAAAATTTTGTCAGAAGCACTGGAGACTTTAGCTACTGAGCATCATGAACTAGAACGATCCCTGGTTGAAGGATCTCCGCCTGTCAGCATCCTTAGTGAGGACGAGTTCTATGATGCACTGTCAGGTAACTCCAGAGCCATTTCATCTGTGTTGTTAGAAGTGTATAGGCTTTGTAAGAGTGGCTGTCACCTGGAATGTCCCAGAATAAACATGAAGAGGTTTATCAGTGCAGCTCCCCTAACTACTGTGCAGCATGTGCATCTGGGTGGATGTGTGCATCTGGGTGGATGTGTGTATCTGTGTGGACGTGTGCATCTGTGTGGACGTGTGCATCTGTGTGGATGTGTGCATCTGTGTGGACGTGTGCATCTGTGTGGACGTGTGCATCTGTGTGGACGTGTGTATCTGTGTGGACGTGTGCATCTGTGTGGATGTGGATGTGCATAGATATTCATTTGAGTACAGGCGTGTGTGTGTGTGTGTGTGTGTGTGTGTGTATGTGTGTGTCTTAAGACAAGAATCTGAAATTTGGTGACAAGCTCAGCATTGAGCAGGTAAGATGGCTCTCACTAGTGAAGTCATTCACTGTCAAGTAAGAACCAGCTCTCAGAAGCTGTCCCCTGCTCACACAACATGCTATAACATGTCTGAGTCCCACCAAATAAATAAACAAACACATTCTTAACCCAAAGGGAGTTTTTCTTCAAATAAATCAAAATGGACTGCCTATTTTGAAAGCATACAATATGCTAGAATTGGAATACTTTCAAAGTTGTGCACCTTTCCTTTGTTCCTTTTCTGTGACTGTCTACTGACCACCCTGTGCTGCCAGCTCTTGACACATGCTCTAAGGAAACAGAAAGAGACCATGGGCTCTGTCTTGAAAAGGGCCTTTAGAGTTCAGTGTGCTAGAGACAAAGTAGATAGAGGACCAGAGTACAGTTGGAACAGAAGAAAGGAAGTTCTTAACTTTGCCCCAGAAACTATGCACAAGGACAGCATAATGAATGTCCTGGGAGCATGGACACCAGTGCCTCCAGCCCTGAGAATGGTACTGAGCGTTACTTAGCATGGACAGATGAGAGATTAGGTGAGGTAGTTGTGGACAGCTTGGAGAAGGTAGGGCTGCTAAACAGTTTGGATTTTGTGTGTATGTAGGGTATCTTCTCACTTTGAGGGCCAGGCTGTACTTGAACTCATGATCTTGCCTTCACCTCCTAGGTGCTGGAATCACAGGCATGCACCACCATACTTACTGAATTTTGATCTTAGAAATTAACATTAGAAGTTTTAAGATACATATGAATAGGGAAGGGGAAGGTTCCAGAGAACAAGGTAACTAGAGATCAGTGAGGTTGCGACAGTATCTTATGGAAGGAAATGAAAGAGAGGAAGCATGGTGAGAGATGGCAGTCATGAGGACATGAGGTTAAGTCAAGAAAGCTGAGGCAGTGAGTGGCTGCACGAGGCAGGAAGAGCATATTGGAAGGGTGGAGATTCCAGATCAGACCATTTCTGATAGAAGTAGGAGAATGAAACCAGGGGAACATACACTGTAATAGCCAGATTTGGAGATGATGAGGACTTTGGTGATGGTGACAGTGTCAGTTAACTGTGGGATGTGTGAAAGTGTGATGCATGCTGGGAAGAGAGAAGATGTAGGACTTGAATACAAAGTGGACGGCAAGGGTGAAGGTGCTTACTGAGATGGGAGGGAGGGCGGCAGTGTAAGAACATTTGAGATGCCTGACATGTATTGTACTCACCTCTGTCCTCTGCCCACTGATGCTAACTTATGTATTCTGTGCACGACTTCCTAAAAGAAAGGCAGTAGAAGATGGTGGCAATTGTGCCCGCCTTTAGTCCCAGTAAGTTGGGAAGTAGAGGGAGGTGGATCTACAGAGCAAGTTCCAAGATAGCTAAGGCTACACAGAGAAACTCTGTCTTGAAAAACCCAAAGCAGAAATAAAAAAAGAAAAAGGAAAAAAAAAGTCAGTAGATGGATCATAATCTGGTGCTTTCAATGAGAAATGTTCCCAGAGGCTCACACTTTCACACTGAGTCCCTGCTGCTGGCCCTGTTTGAGGATGCTATGGAATCTTTACGTGTGTGGTCAGTGGGGTGGGCTTTTAGAACACATAGCCTCCCCCCATTATTGGTTCACTTTCTCTGCTTCATAGTTGATGTTGGAGATGTAATGTCTCAGCTTCTGGCTCTGGCTGCCTACTGCTATGCTCCCCATTGTTATAAGCCCCCAAATAGTCTCTTCTTCCTTAAGTTGTATTTGGTCATGGAGTTTTATCATCGCAACAGTGTATGTAAATATATACTGAGAGTCTCACTGGTTCTTCTTCAGAGGCTAGTTTTTAAAGATTTATTTTCAGTTTAAGTTATATGTAGGCACATATGACTATGTGGTTATGTTTATGTGTGAGGACCTGCCCTTGGAGAGCAGAGATGCTGGAGTCCCTGAACTGGATTACAGACAGTTGTGAGGTGCCTAACATTGGTGCTGGGAACCAAACTTGAGTCCCCTGAAAGAGCAATGTGCCCTTGACTGCTGAGCCCTCTCTCCAGTCCTTCAAGAGGTTATTAACAGCTTGATACCTTCTCTTCCAGGCCTTCTTTCAAGCAATCCCAAGTCCATAGACTTATACATAGACAATGCATACTCAAGTGTCTTAGTTAGGTTTTTCTTGCTGTGAAGAGACACCATGACCACAGTAACTCTTATAAAGGAAAATATTAATTAGGGCTGGCTTACAGTTCAGAGGTTCAGTCCAGTATCATCATGGCAGAAAGCATAGTGGCATGAAGTAGACAGCAGGAAAAGATTACCATACTGGGCATGGCTTGAGCATCTGCCACCTCAAAGCCTACCCCCCTACCAATTACTCCAACAAGGCCACTCTTCCTAATAGTGCCACTCCCTATGGTCCTATGAGTCCATTTTTATCCAAGCCACCACACCAGGTATGCACTGGGACTTGAAGAAAAGTCATCGCAGGAGCTATGTGATTATTCTAGATGAGATTTTTCACTTTATCTTTGGACTCTATCAGTATTGTAGCTCCAGCTCAATCTTTTTATGTGTGTGTAGACCAATTTCTTTAACCATTCTCTTCTTGAGAGGCATTCAGCAGCTTCTCCTGTGTCTCTGCTTCTGGGTATGTCACAGCAGTCATCTCTGGGAGGAGATAAAAAGTACCTGCCACTCCTCTGTCCACATTCCCAAACGTTCTTCTTGCTCAGGTGGGACTGTGGTACCTCTGCTCTATGGATTGCTGCACTGAGCAGGTACCCAAGGCTGAACCCTAGTGTCTGAGATCACATTCTCTCCTGGCTGTAGCAAATGAAGACAGGTACAATGCCAAGCCATGAATAGTTACACAAATTTTGTTACGTTTGTTTAAACACAGTAGTTCATCTGTGACTTCTGTACTATTTCTTACTACAAATTTAGTGAATCATGGAACAATGTAAAAAATGCATTGAAATGAATAGTCCGATAACCTCTGTCCAAATCCTGACCTTCTGTTGACCTGGCCACATAGTTCATGGAGATCATAACAGCTCTTGCTGAGAAATGATTTCACTTTCACAGTATAGTGTCTATTCATCAGTCTTTCTTCACACTTCCTCCTTCACTTCTGCTATGAGAGGAGAAACCTGACCCTTAAATAAGGCTAGCACTTGTCTGTCCTGCTTCCCTGTGCCTTCCCAAGGAGACTTAGTTATTATTTTATTCACTTGTTTAAATGCATGTAACTTAAAATGCTAACTTGAAACTAGGCTGAAAGAGTAGCGATTAATTCTCTCACAGTTTCAGCACTAAGAAGTCTTAAAGTCAAAGAGCATCTAGGCTCTAGGATAGAATCTGGTTCCTTGCTCTAATGACCCACCTGCATTCCTTGGCTCCAGGCCCATCCTCCATCTTCAGAGACTAAGCAGATCCACTGCAGCCTCTGATTCTGGCCATCCTTCCTTCCTGCTTAAGGAGCCCTGTGATTACACTGGGCTCACCCAAAGAATCTTGGACATTTTCCTCATCCCTGGATTTAGCTTAAATCTGTAGACTATCTACTAGGCAAGTAGCATAATCATAGATTTGTTCCCTGCTCTCCTTCAAATTCATGGTCTGTCTCTTCTCTCTCTCTCTCTCTCTCTCTCTCTCTCTCTCTCTCTCTCTCTCTC